GTATCATGTCATGTGTATTTCCCATTTTGTGTTTCCACTTAACATGGATGAAGGGAGGTTTTCATTTGAATATTATTTTTGGCTTTATGTATGTGAATGTTTTACCTGCATGTATGTGCTGATGCCTGTAGAAGTCAGAAGAGGGCATCTCAGGTACCCTGGAAATGGAATTACAGAAAGTTGTGAACCACCATGTGAGTGCTAGGGATTGAATTCATGTCCCCTACAAGAGCAACAGGTGCTCTTAACCATGAGCTATCTCTCTGGTCCCTTGTTTGTTTTTTGCTTTTGTTCTTTGTTTTTTGACTACAGTGAGTAGTCAAATACTCTGAAAACTTTGATGTCCTGGTGTTGTGGATGCAGAATTTTATTACCCTACCATGATAGCCATATGATGCAGGTGATGGCCTGTGGCTACCTGTGCATCTCTGGATAGGCTTTTTGATGTTGCCATTGTGTTGTTTTCTTTTGACAGGTTTCACTATGCAGCTCATCCTAGATCTGGGGCTGCAATCCCCCTCCTTCCAAGTCCTGAGTAGTTCTTATCCCATGGCTTCCCTCAGCCACCGAGGGACCGGAGTGGGCGGTGGAGGGAAGCACTTGGGTCCTACATAGGCTGGGGCTCTGAGTGACACTTCAGGAGTGAGGTGACAAAGGTCCCATGCTCTTTGCAGGTGCCCTAGGTAGGCTTTCCACCATCTCCTAGCCCAGGCCCAGCCTTCTTCCCTGGTAACAGCCATGCTGTCTCACTTTTTCTCTCCCAGGCTAAATATGGAGTGTGAAACTGCTCTTCTTCCCGATTTAGCATTTGAATTAAAGCGAGAACTGAATGTGGCTGGAATGCTGACTCCCATCTGCGTGTGAGAAAGGGCTTGCAGTCTGGTGGGGAAATAGACTCCAGAAACGCGATGACAGCGGGAAGGACAGATGTGACAGAGGCCCGGAGGGGACACCTGGCAGCTTGGGGGTGAGGGGATAAAATCTGAGCTGAGATTTGTGCACTTGTAGGAGCTGACTGATGAGGGAGGGGAGCTAGGGACTTGGGCAGGAACAAGCATCATGCAGGGATTTGAGTGGCTGTGGCCTCTGCTGGGCACAAAGGGAGAGGGGGACAAGTTGATCAAGAGCTTCCTTTATCTCCATCTCCTCCTCTTCCCTGTCTTCTTACCCTTCATGTTGAAGAACAAACCAGATGCTCTCAACCTGGGCCTGAGATCACATGATCACTTTTATTTCATTTGCCTGTTTTGTTTTGTTGTGACTGTCTCCTGTGTGGTCCTGCCTAGCTTGGAACTTATGTAGACCAGACTGGCCTTAACTTAGAGTGACTCTCCTGCCTCTCCTTCCTGAGGGCGTGGTTTACAGGTATTCTCTACCATCCCCACACATAAGCACCCTCTGCTGAGGCTGGTCAGACAGCGGACCTGAAAGGCCCTAGATGGACATGGGACAGAAGTAGGGTCAGGATGGCCTCATGGAACCCAATCAGGAAGGGTCTCTGCTTGTTGCGACTGAACCACCCTCCTCAGGAGGACGGCTTGAGTCAATCTCTTACATTTCTTCCTCTTGTTGGAACCGGATCATAATTTGGTTCAGGTGAGATCTGGTGGAAACTTTAGCCTAAGAGAAACCTTTTGTTGGCAACGTGAAAGTGCTGTCTAGTGGGTCATGCCATGCCCTTGCCAGGCACAGCTGAGGGATGCTGGTGTAAAACTCTCCATCAATATTTCAGGCAACATTATTTATTGATCACTTATCTGGCTGGGACAAAAGGAGAGGATAATTCACCAGGGATACAGGGCTGCCTGAGGTCAGTTTGGGAAAGAGGTCAGGAAAAGGTAGGTAGGTCACCAAGGAGGCAGCTCTACCCTGCCAGACCCTGCAAGAACACTTGGGGATTCTAAGAGTTGGGCGGGGTTGGGGGGGTTGCCTTCTTTTCCAACTCCACAATATCCTTGATGAAAATAACGGAAAAGGCTAGGGAGTAGGGAAGCCTGGAGCAGGTTTGAGATGCCACTGTGGCCAGTCCAGGGGTTTAACAACTATGTGGACAGTTTCCCCCAGAACCCTAACTCTGACCCTCCCCTCTCCTGGCTTCCTCCAGGAGGTACCTAACCTGGGCTGCCAAATTAGCATCTAAAAGACACCTATCGAAATGGATTTCAGGGTCGGGAAAGGGGAGGGGCAGAGTTGGGAGGATCCTTCCCAGAAGCCTTCTTTTTCAGAGTCTGTCGGTCCACCTCCTGTTCTGAGTGGTGGGAATGCAGACTGGGAGAACCCACAGCTGTCCTGTCTTCCCTCAAAGATACTTTCCCCCACTTTAGTCTCCCCTCCCGTGGAGCAGAGTATGAGGCTCTCTGGTCTCCAGGCCTTGAGCCATTGGTGAGATTGTACTCTGCTTGGTGATAGCGTATCACACGGGGGAGGGAGCTGCGCCACCTAGTGGGCCTTTGAATGCCTACTCTTGGGTAAGACGCAAACGGAAGCCGCTGTCCAGCTCTCGGGACTGACTTGAGAAGCCCGCTTTCCTCCTCAAGCCAGTCGTGAGACCTAGAACCGAGAAGTAACTATGGCGTTTGGGAGGGTAATGATCACGTATTAGCTGAAGTTTAAATTAACAGGGTAGATACAGGCACTGCTTAGGGTCTCAAGTTCCTCCCTCCTCAGTTAGCATTGCTTTTTTTTTGCAGCTGAGCAAGGCTACACTTAGCTCTGCTAATCACTTCAGAGCTGGCACAGGCTAGAAGGAGCTGCTGGCTTTCCTCTGACGTCAGGGCCTGGAAATCCCATTTTAAGCGGGTTCTTGGGAGGTTGGAACACCCACAGAAAAGGAGGAGAAGCCAGATAAAGTAACTTCAGGCCTGAGGCTATCATAGCCTGGAGGGTTGCCTAATGTTCCCGGGAGCCTGGACTTGTGACATAGCACAAGCCCTTCACAGTCTGCCGAGGACCCAGGCAGTGATTTAGTGGCCTTCTACCTACCTCTATCAGATGTCTTTTATATTCCTCTAGCCTGGGATCTGAGGGAGAGGAGGCAGGGGACCTAGGGAATTAGCATACAGCATAAAGTCACCCAGACCCCTTGTGTCCCACCAGCAAACCTTCTCCTAAAAGGCTTTCCAACTGTTCTGTCACCCTCCATCTCTCCTCTCCTCTCCTGCACAGCAGGAAGCAGTCCCTGTGCCCAGAGTTCTGGAAGCCTGAATGTTTCCATGGCAACAGAACATGGCGCTTGGGAATCTGAGCATACTCCTTTTGATACAAAAAAACCCAGATGTATATGTAGAGTCTGGCCATGCAGAGTCTGGCAGTAGTCTCCTAACCACTGCTATGGGTGTGCTCATTTGCATGTGTGTGACATGTAGCAAATGAAATTTATATAGAATGCCCAGCCTGTTTTTCTGGCTATATGATAAGTGCTAGCATGGTACTAACACTTTACTTTTGGGGCTCTTCCAAGACTAGTACCTTCCTGTCCTTTCCAATTAAAAAAAAAAAAAAAAAGCCAAATTCCTTCAGGGCTGTGCTGGCTAGCTTTTATGTCAACTCAAAACAGGCTAGGGTCATCTGAGAAGAGAAAATCTTGAGGTATTGCCTCCATTAGATAGGCAAGCCTATGGTTTTTTTTTTTTTTTTTTTTTTTTTGTTCATTTTTTGAGACAGGGTTTCTCTGTGTAGCTTTGGAACCTGTCCTGAAACTCATTTTGTAGACCAGGCTGACCTTGAACTCACAGAGATCCACCTGCATCAGCCTCCACAGTGCTGGGATTAAAGATCCGCGCCACTGCCGACAGGCCTGTGGTGTATTTTCTTAATTGATGACAGATGCAGGACAGCCCAGCTCCCTTTGGCCAGTGCTGCCCTTGGGAAGGTGGTCTTGGGTAGAATAACATGTAGGAGCAAGCCAGTAAGCAGTGTCCCTCCATGGTCTCCGCTTCAGTTACTGCTTGAGATTCCTGCCTTGAGTTCCCACCCTGATTTTCCTCAGGGATGGAGTGTGACCTGAGAGTTGGAAGCTGAAATAAACTCTCTCCTCTCCGAGTAGCTTTGGGTTATGTGTTTTTCAAAGCAATAGAAAGAAAATTTAAGACGGGCCAGTGGTGAAAGGGATTGCCTTGGGGGGCTTGACTGGAGGGTTCCAAAGCAGGCAAAGAGGTCCTCATATTTACTTTTTCAATTCGATTCTTTTCAAGACAGGGTTTCTCTGTGTGGCCTTGGCTGTCCTGGAGCTGTTTTTGTACAGGCTGGCCCTGAACTCAGAGATTGCCTATCTCTGCTCTGGAGTGCTGGGACTAAAGGCGTGAGCCACCACTGCCCGGCAAAAGGGCCCTCTTGTATCCTCACATCTCAGTTGCAGACATTCTGATAGTTTGGCTCAAGTACGGCAGCCGCCCATGCCCTGCGATGCCCGAGGGGGGAATATAGGTTGCTGTTCCAACCCCACCATGATGTTCTCCTTCCACAGAATGGGATGTGTCTCGGCTCCCTTTGCCCTCTCTAGCGCTGCCTCAGCTCCTCGGCCATCCAAGAGCGCTCCTTCTCCTCAGCCAAGCCTACTCCAGACTCCTCTCAGAGCCCTCTAGCAGCCAGAGCTCCACCTTCTCTGTTTCCACATGAAACACATCTCTGGTCCCTGCACTCGGTGCCCCAGCTCATTTGTCTGTCCCCAAGACCTGCAGACCTGGTTTGTCCACAAACATTCTTGTCTCTTCCTTCAACCCACTCTAGCAGTCCAGGACTTCTCTGCCCCATGTCCAACTCTGCTCAATAGCAGCCTACCTCATTCCCTCCCCTGGGCACCTCACTGGGGTCCTTGTCCTTAGAGTTTACATCTGGCAACTTCCATAGGCTGCTAGAGGACCTACTGAGATTTGGGGGGACAGGATTCTGGGGTGAGGACCCTTCAATCAGCACTCCTGTGTTCCATCCGTCCCTTTCCCCGCCCCTCACAGCTGGGTCTTACTTCTCAGTGGGGTAAGAATGACACACAGGCCATAATGGAGGAGGTGGCGGAGTTCCATTTATTGGTCATCCAGTGGGCATTTCAGACTCAGGAGCCTCTCAGCTCCTTTCTCTTCCTTCTTCACATTCCACTTAGCCCCCAATGAAGCTGGCAGAGCCAGGGCCAGGGGTGTGGGTCCAGGTTGGTTCTAACAGGGGTTTGCTTGGCACAGGAAGGGGACCCAATAGCAAGTTAGGATGGGTCCCCTTGACAGGAGAGGAAAGAAGCCAGCTTGGCAGGACTTCTATAGTGGGCCCAAGGAGTAGGCCCAGCCTAGGGGCATGAGTGGGTAAAACAGATCAAGGATGGAAGGGTAGGGGGGCGGCCCTTTGGAGCCTCATTCTGGCAAGGGCTTGGATCCTCTGAGGTTCAGAGATCAGCAGGGGTGGAGAAAGAGGGAGAAAGACCAGGGCTGAAGTAGGGAGAAGTGGCCACTTTCACACAGCCTCCCCACTTGTGTCCCTTGGAACTCCACCTCCAACTGCAATTCTGGCAAGGCCATGTTGCTCATTTACAGCCTGTGTCTTCCACTCCTAGCTGGGCCTGAGTCACACATTCCCCCCTCAGACCTACCCGATATTTTCCCCTCTCAAGGTGCCTTAAGGCCCCTCCTTGGTCTGTCTGGACTGTGGCCTTTACCCCTATTCAAGGAAGAGTGTTGGAGGCATGTCAGGCCATGGTCTTCAGCAAGGCACTGGATGGGCGGGGTGGGGCGGGGCTAGAGCATTGAGAAGAGCAAGAGCGAGCAGTGCTGGCCAAGGAGCCCCACCTCCTCAAGGGCTCAGCCATCAGCTTCTGTCCTGCACCCTAGACTGTGCCTCCCTCCTCTTTGCCAAACATGGGAGGCGGCACTGGAAACAGCCATCTAGGGGGTCCTCGGGTCTGCAACACTTGGGCTAGTGGCCCATTGTGGAGTGGGGCCTGGGCTGCAGCTCTTCCCAGTGCTTGCTATTGTCCCACCCACAGCTGGAGGGGAGTGGGGAGGTGAGGGCCTCACGCTGAGTCACCTCCTCCAGAACTCTTCTTCTTGGGTCGGGTCTTCAGGGTCTTGGAGGCCACTGGCTATGTAGAGAGGATGACGAGGGCTCAGCCTGGTCCCACTCCATCATCCCCATCTCCCCAGGCTACAGCCTGTATTCTCACCTCAACTTTGGGCACTCTTTTGATAGATTTGGTCCTCTTGGGTGCCTTGTCTGCCAGGTCATCTTCTGAGGTCTCTGTCCGGGGATCTGCCTGGCTTGTGCTAGACCTTACACTCAGGCCAGGGTCATCTAGTTTCAGGGGACGAAAAGAGAATAAGGGCCCAGGGGTCTCTGGTCTTTCCCGCAGCCCAGGGTCTGCCAGTACCTAAGTCCTCAATAGTGTCCAGGAGACCCCCAGGGCCAGGTCGGAGACGGCCATCTGACCCCTGCAGCGGCAATGCGTCCTCATCTCGAATGAGAGTCAGGTCCTGCATGCTGAAGCTCCGGAGCTTTTCGGACAGCACCCCCTGGCCCTAGGGTTACCACCACGCACCAAGAGAGCAGGAAGGAGGGGCGGGGTGGAGACAGAGGTTACCATGGTGTTGGGATATTTTCCCTTTGTTCAGATGAGGAAACGGACCAAACAGTAGAAGAAAGAGGGCTGAAGCCTGGAGCTGCACAGCCCAAAGTCTCCAAGGCCTGAAGACAGGGTGGATGCCGAGGGGTCAGGACACAATGGGATAAGCACGGTGGGGCCCCCAGGAGTCCACCCATCTCATCTCACCTTGGCAGCAGCTGTGACTGCAGCATTGGCAGCCAGGTTCAGGCCCCTCTTGCCTACTCTCATCATGGTCTCATAGCTCTTGTCTCGGGCTTGGGTGATATATTCGTCGATCTCCTAGGGGATGGGAGACTGGAGAGGTAAGGCTGCAGGCAAGTTACCTTTGTTCATACCTGTGTAAAGACACTGCCCGCCCCAGGGAGCTAGGCCCTGCAAAGTTACTGCAGGCTCTGGCCACCCACAGGAAATGTGCATGGCTGCATCATGGGAAAGCCTCAGCCAGGCGAGGCTGGGGAGAGCTGAAGGTGGGGGCAGACCTTTTCCTTGTTGGACAGTGTAGGATGCACGAACTTGCGGTAGAGAACGCTGGAGCCCTTGGTGTAAGGGGACAACAACCATATCACAAAAGCAATCTTGAGCTCAAAGTAGAAGGGGAACCTGTTGAGAGTTAAGGGGTCTATCAGATTTAGCAGCACTGACCCTGGACAGCCCCCACCCTGTAAGGTTCCCATGAGGACTGGGAGGGTGGGGAGCTAACTGAGACTCCATGTGGGAAGGTAAGAAGTGACCCCAGTTGGGTACATGCCTAGAATCCCTGCACTTGCCAGACTGATCACAAATTTGTGGCCACTCTGGGCTAACTAAGACCCTATCTCAAAATAAACCTATGCACGGGGTCCATCTCAGGCACCTGGGAAGTAGAGGCAGGAGGATCATCTTCAGCAACATAGGGAGTCCAGAGTCAGCCTGGGGCACACGAGACTTGGGAAAAGTAGATCCCAGAAGGACTCTCCTCAGCAAGCTGCTCCTCCTTCCCAAGTCCTGTGTGCCAAGGTCACCTGTCTTCCAGTCCCGCCCCCTTCCGTGAAGAGGACCAGGATGGAATCTGGATCTGATCCTTGCTGCCGTGACATGCCCTTTTTCTTTTCCTCTTTCTTGTTTTCAGTATTGACCTTCAACTCGCTTGGCAAGCTCTCTGCCATTGAGTTATATCCCTAGCTTTTGACTTTTTATTTTTCACTAAGTTGCCTAGGCAGGTCTTGGATTTGTGGTCTTCCTTCCTCAGTCCCCCAAGTAGCTGTGCTTTCTTTATATTTGTGTGTGTGTGTGTGTGTGTGTGTGTGTGTGTGTGTGTGTGTGTGTGTGTAATAGAGGTCAGTCTTGGGTATTATTCTCTCACTGGATTGGAGCTAACAAGCCCTAGTAGTCCACATTTCTCTGCTTCCTTGAGTTGAGATTACAAGGGTGGGCCGTTATACCTTTTAAACATGGGTCTGGGGACTGATTAGGGCCTCGTGTTTGGACAGCAAGCTTCATCCACCAAGCCATCTCTCTAGCTTTTCAATGGTTTTTAGTTAAAACGTTTCCTTCCTTCCTTCCTTCTTTCTTTTCTTTCTTTCTTTCTTTCTTTCTTTCTTTCTTTCTTTCTTTCTTTTTTTTTTTTTTTTTTTTTTTTTTGAGACAAGGTTTCTCTATATAGCCCTGGTTGTCCTAGAACTCGCTCTGTAGAGCAGGCTGGCCTCAACTTCAGAGACCTGCCTGCCTCTGCCTCCCGAATGCTGGGATTAAAGGCGAGCATCACTGCTACCACCACCCAGCTGGAAAACTTCTTGAGATGTGTTGTTCACACTGGCCTCAGACTCCAAGATTCGAGTGAGCCTCTGCCTCAGTGATAGGCCCTCAGTTCTCTGACTTTGGGTACTGCTCTCCATTTCCCACAGGGTTTTATGCCCAGGCCACAGCTGTCGTCAAGTCTTCTACATCCTCACAAAGCCCTCTCCTTCACTGGTACCCAGGGAATCTAGACCTAGCACCCTGAATCTTTTAACAAATTTCTAAATTACCTCTGTCTACTCAAACCATAGCTAGTAAACACAAGAGCTTTATCTACAAATGAAATATTTTGTCTACCAATTTAAAAAAATATTTTTGTCTCTTATTAAAAAAAAAAACTTTTTTCAGAGTCAAGGACAATTTTATCAGAGCTTAAAAGAAAAAAACAACCCCAAGGCAGGCAAGCTTTAAATTCCACTTCCTAGAAGAGGAGAGTGGGAGGGAGAAGGAAGAGCAACAGGCCATTTAAACCAGCATGGAGTTCAGACACACAGCTGCCGCCTGTTACACGGTGGAGAAAAAGTAAGCCTAAAATGTTGGGGAAGCTCCAAATATTAAGAAAACTTGTTTAAAAAGGGATGGGCCAGGCTATAGTGGCACATGCCTTTAATCCCAGCACTTGGGAGACAGAGACAGGTGGGTCTCTGTGAGTTCGAGGTCAGCCAGGTCTATACAGCAAGTTCCAAACAGCAGAGCTGAGGGGGGGGGGGAAGGCTCAGTGGTTCAGAGCACTGGCTGCTTTTACAAAGAACCTAGGTTCAGTTCCCAGCACCGACATGGCAGCTCACAACTGTCTGTAGCTCCATTCCAGGTGGTCTGATGTCCTCTTCTGACCTCCTCTTGTACCAGGCACACACACACGGTACACAGACACACATGCAGACAAAATGCCTATACACACAAAACAAGTTTTTGTTTTTTGTTTTTTTTTTTTTTTTTAAAGAGAAAGTTGGGCATAGTGGTGCAGTGCACACCTGTAATCCTAGCATTTGGAAAGCTGAGGCCAACCTGGGCTACAAAAGCATTCCAGGCTAACCCAGCCTGAGATACATAGTGAAACTATTTAGGGGAAGGAGGGAAGGAGGGAGAAAGGGAGGGAGAAAGGGAGGGGGAGGAGGGAGGGAGGAAAGAGGAAGGGAGGGAGAAAAGGAGGGAAGAAGGAAAATTAAAAAAATTTTTTTGATTAAAAAAAAAAGCAAGTGGACTTATGAAGGTCCATGGCTGTAGCCAGCAGGCTATTGCCTCTCTCTCTCTCTCTCTCTCTCTCTCTGTGTGTGTGTGTGTGTGTGTGTGTGTGTGTGTGTGTGTAACAGGGTTTAATAGCCTTGGCTGTCTAGAACTTCCTTTGCAGACCAGGCTAGTCTTGAACTCACAGAGATCAACCTAATTCTTTCTCCTGAGTACTGGGTTTAAGGCGTGTGCCACCACTGCCTGGCTGCTATTGCCTCTTCTTAAAAATCTTAATCATGTATATGATACATGTGTAAATGCGTGCGCGCGCATGTGTGTTGGGTGCAGGCTCCTGGAGTGTGTGGATCAGAGGAGGGTCTCTGGGGCTGCTTTTCTCCTCCCACTCTTTCAGGCTTTCAGGGATCAAACTTAGGGCATCAGGCTTGCGTGGCAAGAGCTTTGCTGATGAGCCACTCTGCTGGCCCCTGCCCTGAGATAATGTAGCCCAGGTTGGCCTCAAAACTGCAATATTTCCTACCTATGGTCCCCAGGATTGCAGGTGATTCAAATTTCATGTACTGTACTCTTCAAGAGGTGCTAGCTCACGCAGTAAACATTCCCTGTGTCCATAATGTGCCTACACTTTAGGCCTGTCAGTGCCTGTAATGCCTTAGAAATATGAGCACCCAGTGTCCACATGATTGAACTGTGAGCCTGTCCCACAAACAGGGAAGATGAGGCTTAGGGACTGATCATCTGTCTATTGTCACAGTGAGGATGACAGAGCAGATGCAGACTCACTGAATACCACTGTGGTGCTGTGGCTGTCACCAGAAAGAAACATGGGATGTGGGGGGGGGTTCTGTCTGTCTTTTTGTCCTGTGAGCTAGGGTAGTCCCAAGTGTTCTGGAATTCGCTATGCCCCTGCCTCCCAGGTGCTGGGAAGAGAAGGCGGTGCCACCATGCTTGGCTTGCTATGCCTGTTCTTACTTGCTGATATCATGCTTTAAGAGCAGTATTAAGGAAACTGAGGGGCTGTTGGGTTTGGGAGTGACTCTAGCCTGGGTCCCAATCTTCTGTCTATCTGGTTTGAGAAAAGAAGAGGTCTGGGGGTTGAGATGGCAGGAGGGGACACTGGCCCTCACCAGGACAGTATTATATCCGTGAGTGTCTCAGCTGTGGTGAAGAAGGCAAAGACGATCCAGTACATCATCCACTTGACCTGAGGGACAAAGGGCAACATCCTATGGGGCCCAGGGCTAAGGACATGTAAACACCCACGGTCCCCAGTCTGTCAGCTCCAAATACTGGGGCTAAGCCAGAGAAACCCAGGTCCATCCCCATATTGCTGCCTGCTCCACACTGAAGTCCTGGGAGAAGGTTAGTCAGGACCTCACATATGTCAACCATACCATGCCTGGGTGGAAACAGGGAACATTCCAGAACCTCTTTTGCTCAGGGTCAGGGTTTTGTTGGATAGCATGACACAAAGCCATACCATACCCACCTGTATGTGACAAATGTGCCCCACCCACCATGTTTGTGAAACAGGGGAACAGTTCCACTCACATATTCCTTCACATTTTTGGTCTTCACGGCCTTGTAGGAGGAATAGGCTGGGTACAGGGTGCCGAAGATGAGCCTAGGGAGGCAGGCATGGTTACTGGGCCCTTCCCCCTCCCAGCTCTGTGTCAGGCTCGTGGAGGGGGGGGCTAAGGTGAAAAGGCCCAGAGCTCCAAAGAAGCATCCACTGGTCAAGGATTAAGTCAGAGCAGTCAAGGCTCTGGAAATACACCCTGGGGGTGGGGAGCCGGTCAGCCAGCCCAGAGGAGTGAGCCCTTTCCTCTAGCCATTGCTCATTCCTTTAGCCCTTGACTTAGGAAAAGACCCAGGGGTTAGAGGATCCAAAGTGGTTCCTTCAGCCAGAATCCTTGGCTATGCACAAGCATGCAAGGGGGTCGAGGGGGCTGGTCACTGCCTTCCTGGCCTAATGCCCACTCAACCCATCTGTTCATACTCTCCACTTCCTTGTCTCAGGGACAGGCCGGGTAGGACCAGTTCCCCAAGGGAACCTAACACCACCTAACAGGGCACCCAACCTGACAGTCAAGAGAACTATTGTGGTCCTTGGACCAGAGGACACAGATATGCGGGAGGCCCTGGAAGAGACAAAGAGATTTGTAACCCCATGTCAGCATGGTTTGGAAGCAGGTACAAAAGACCTAGGCATAAGACCCTGTCTGAGCATCTCCTACAGATTATAGAAAGGTCATGGGGAGGGGAGGAGTCATATATCCTGTAGGGAGTTTGCCCAGGCCAGGAGAGAAGTAGCCATCCTGAATGCCACTCAGAGATAAGGCCTCTAGGGGGTGGGAGAAGGAAACTCCAGTGGGTTAAGAGGAAACCAGGACACAAGTATGTAACACATTGAATGTGAAGGAGGGTGGGGTGAGGCTGCTGGGGTGCCAGTCCCAATCGCGGCTGAGGGCAGAGCCCTAAACTAGAGGAAGGGTTGGCTCTGAAGTCCAGCCCCTTCAAATGTGGGTGATGCCTTGTCATTCACTGCCTCACTGGGTACTGAGGCAGAATCTGCAAGGCCAACATCTAGGCTTGTGTGTGTTTCGGACAGGGAGGAATTTCTTTCTGTTTGGGGGGGGGGGGGAGGTGCCAGGGCCATAGCTCCACAATGTGACTGTTACAATGTGCCTGGAATCAAGGCCACCAAATGTTTTTCCGATGATTTTTCACAATCCTAGGCAGATAATATACATCCATCCGGTTACCTCCCCACACTTTGTCCTCCCAGACAGCACCTCGGCTTCCATGCCCAGCCTGGATGCCTTAGGGCAGGTGTCCTCATCCAATCTCTAATCAGTGGAAGCAGGAGGAAGGCCTGAAATCTTTGGGATCTGAGCTCTGGAATGATGAGCCCACTCCCCTACCCTGTCATGTTCCCCACGCTTTTACTCTCTTCCCGAGGGAAAGGAAGGCCCCTCCAGCCTAATCTGCTCAGTGGGGGAGGGGATATGCCCGCCTCCCCTTATAAATCAGTAGCTGCTCAGCCTCTAGGATGGGGGAGGGCGCAGGAGCAAGGCACTCAAGAATGGGTTTTAAAAATGATATGGGTGAGGTCTCTGGGAAATCAGGCCTGCCATGCTCCCGTAATGCTCCCCTTCCAGTCTTTGGTCTCACATCTCTGTCTCTGGGGACACCACATAAGGACCCAGGGCTAATCCATCCCAGGCTTGAATACCGCGCCCTCCATCACCGGCCCCCCTCACCCCCTACCCGGGCGAGCCCAGATACTGCCTCCGCACTCACACCACCAGGCGAGAGATGATCCAGGACACCATGGCGGGGCGGGGACCCAGCCCGGGCGAGGATGCAGCTGCCCGAGGCCGGAGGTGAGGGCTGCAGGAGCTGCAGTTAGCAGCGGCAGCCGCCGTGGGGTCAGCGGAGCGCGGAGTTGCCGCCGTTAAAGGGGAGGTCCCTGCCGCAGCAGCGGGCCGTGGGCGGTGGCGGCTCTTAAAGGGGAGGCCGCGGTGTCGGCGCGCCCCCCCAGCACCTGCTGTGGTTGGGCATGCGCCTTCACCCTCACTGCCCAGCCTTCCTCTAAATCGCTTGTTCCCTTCCTTGAGCTTCAAGCTGGAGGCCAACCTCCTGGCGGGGACCCTTTCGGTTCCATCCTTTGACATCAGCTTTGGCCCTGCCCACACCAGGTCGAAGGCTTAAATATCCCACGAGGAGCAACAGCTGCTTTATTGCTTAACTGCCAGGCCCTTGTGCTTAGAGCTTCCCATGTTATTTCATGGAATCCTCACAACTAACCTAATAAGGCAAAAAGTTATAATTATCCTCATCTTGAAGGTGGGGGTTATTGGTTTCACTACTATGCTGAGGGTCCAAAACCACTAAGTCATACTGTTACAATATGAAACTAACAATTGTATTTTATAGGTTACAAACTCCAAACACTGACCATCAAACCCTTCTCCATTACCGGCTCTTGGGGCCAGGCACAGCTGCATCCCACTCCAGTTGCTCATCAATGACCACCAAGTCCTAGGTTAAAGGGAACCTGTCCATATGGTTTGATCGGACTTTTTAGATGGTAAATTATGTTGGGGCTAGGAAGATGTGAAATTCAATTTCTTGAGGAAGGGGTAGGATAGAAGAGTGGGTGCAAAGTCCAGAGACCTCAGCTTCACCCTCATCAGAAAGGATCACTGGCATCTGGGCAGTGGTGGCCCACACCTTTAATCCCAGTGCTGGCATCTCTGAGTTCAAGGTCAGCTTGGTCTGCAGAGCTAGTTCCAGGACAAGCTCCAAAGCTACAGAGAAACCCGGTGTCGAAAACCAAAAAAAAAAAAAAAAAAAAAAAAAAAGTTCACTGGTAGTGGATGTTGGATGTCCTAATTTTGAAGACATTTATATCCAGAATGTAGGCTAGCTCGATTCCTGATTTTCACCAAAGCAAGGCTGTCCCAAAGCATCCCTCCTCCACTGCCCCATTTTACAGCTGCCTGACGGCTTTATGTTGAGGTATAATCCTTTTGGTGAGCACACTATTGACCTGTCCCACCCAGGCTGTAAGGACATGCTCAGGGCTCTGTGTCTCAGAGTTATATAGTCTTAATTATGTTTCTAGGCTCAAATGCTTTGGAGGGTGTTTTCTAACAGGTGTCAGAGAAGCAGGCCTCTGATGATGTGTCTTGCTTTCCTGCACAACTTCCTTCCCAAAAGGCCTTTTAAAAACTAGAATGTAGTCTATTCTTACCCAACAAGAACACTTTAACTTTGCTTAATAAACAGAACCTCAGTTGGGTCCTCTTCCCCCATTTCTGAGGCAATCTAGGTCCACACACTTTATGGTAGGCAGTTGCACAAACTCACAACCTTGCCTGGCGCTTTGTTCAGGTGGCACATTAAGGTGCTGTTCTCTCATTCTGCACCCTAGAGGAAGGAGGACCCCACTTATCCCTTTTTGTTCACTGAGCATAAACTACAGGGAAACAAGCCTCCTCCCACCCACCAACTCAGGCGGCTCCTTGCCTAGTCTCTCTAGTCTCTCACTGGGCTCCTCCTCTCCACTGAGCACAACCCAGTCAACAGGCGCAGAGTAACAAGAAGACCTGAAACCGACTGCCATCTCCAGCAGCCCAGTGTCGTCTTGACTTTAGAAAGGTTGCAACAGAAAGAATTTTGTCTACTCCAAACAGATTTGTTAGATTTTTAATAAGAACATGGAAATCCCAATCAGCCCTTCAATAAAATTAAAGTACAGAAAGTGAAATTAAAAGTATTCTACAGTAAATGACTTTTATTAAAAAAAAAAAAAAAAAGGTAACTGTGAACATATAAACAAGGCTGCAGGGCAGTAACCCTGGAAAGATACATTTCCCAATGTACCTATGGGCCAATGAATTCCATCATTTCCAAGTAAATTCTTAATAAAAACGCCACTGAGTAGGAAAGTTTTGCTGAAAATATTTCCAGACAAAACTCCAAAAACCAAAACCTCTTCTATTGGAAACCAAACTTTCCACCCCGTTTGGAGACACAGGCAGAGTCCCTAGGGAACAAACGCTGGTAGTCGGCAAACAGCTCCTGGAGTCAGCAGTGTGCACGCAGGGATAGCTCCACAGCTCAGACATGACACAGTTCTTTCTCGGACGACTGCTCCCTCAAGATAAGACTGAGAGGGAGGGGGAGACACTAAAAGAATTCTAATAAAATGCCAATTCTTTTAAGTTACGCTTTGGCTGATTTTGTGCTATTAAGGGACAGCTGATTTCTAAAAATCATATCTTTTCAGAGTTTTATTGAAGGGAAGACTAAAGCAACGTGCCTTTCCTCATAGTCCAGGAAAACAACTGTTATTTCAAAAGTTCTAAAAATATCTACTTTCATGAAATAGTAACTATTTCACTACAAACCTATTTTTCACTAAATACACACATTTCCTAATCCTGGAGCCTCCTGGGAAAAGCTGTGGGCTCTTCCTGGGTCCTGAAGACTCCAATGTTCACAGAGAGTGTGGGGAAATGGCTGCACCCCACCTCCTGGGATGGGCCAGGTCAGAAGTCACGTGTGGAAACATGGCTAGGCTTCCCCCAGGCACATGAAATCATCACCTTTTTTTACCAGTTATGACTCCTCCGCCTCCAAACACAGTCCCACCTAGCTAGGCACAAGAGGAACAGAGAAGGACGGTGTGCCCACGTTCCTGGTTTCCATGGTCTCAAACCAGGAGAATGTGCAGGAAAGCCCAGCGATGTTCAAGAAACCTGGATTCCCAAAAGGCCCCTGGATGGGAATGTGGCACCCTCAGCTTCGAGTCTGAAACTGTGTGTGTGAGCAGTGCGACTTTCTTGTTGAGGCAGCATAGAAAGCGTGGCTGGAGAGTTTGTAATACTGACCACACTGGCTTGGGGAAGGGCCTCTGCTCCTGCAGAGAGCCCTGCCGTTCCCTGGTAAAAGTTGTGAAAGACCTGCATCACAGGAGAGCTGCAAGTTCCCCACGCCTTAAGACCTTGCCAGTTTGGATTCGTGGGCCTTTAGAGTGCCGACGGCATCTTTCACTGCGTGGTATATAATGTTCTTCACCTAGGGGAAAATCAGCAGTCAGTGCATGGCAGCTCAAATGTGCATCTAGGTCTCACTCCGACAACAAGCTTACTGAAAAGCTAATGAGGACACCCAGCAGTAGCTGTGTCCACACTCAAGAAAAGAATGTGTAAAGCCATCCTCACTCCTGCTCTCAGTAGGTGCCGGACAGTGTCAATGCACGACTATGTAGGCTCCTAGTTGATCATCAGTCTCAGCCGCAAGTGGCTTTACTCGCTGAGCCAGCCATCTTGCCTGTTCCCTTCCCAGCCTTCTGAGACAGGGTCTTACTATGTAGCCAAGGCTGGCTTCTAACTCTATGATCTTCTTGATTTAGATTCACAAGTAATGGGATTACAAGAATGTGCCACCAGGTCTAGAGCTTATGTGTATATTCTAATTTGTCTAAAAGAGACATATTTTACATGTGATGTTGGAAGATTTAATTAACATCCTTAAAACAAGGAGATAGGCTAAAGACTTTAAAAAGACTGACAAGATTATTTCTAGGGTGGAAATATGAGGTAGGAGAAAATGGAATGATATACTGGTACTTTAACAATGGTGCTATTGTGTTTGTACATGTGTATTGTATGTATAATATGACATCTTATTTCACAAAAACAGGAGTCTTTGTGACGGATACAGATGATGCCTTAACAAAAATGCACTATGGACTGTGTTTCAGATCTGTGCTAGGGAAAGTTACTGTGGAATATTATTTTAAGATGTGTTACATTTGTTTATGCTGTGGAACATTTGTTTAATGATGCAAAGATGTGTTGCATTCTTTCATGTTGTGTTTGTTTAACTCTGTGAAGCTCTGTTACTTGCCTGTCTAAAACACCTGATTGGTTTAATAAAGAGCTGAATGGCCATTAGCAAGGCAAGAGAAAGGATAGGCAGAGCTGGAAGGCAGAGAGAATGAATAGAAGGAGGAAGAGAGGACATTAGGGGCCAGTCACCCAGCTACACAGCCAGCCACTAAATAAGAGTGAAAGTAAGATAAACAGAAGTAAGGAAAGAAGACCCAGAGGCAAAAGGTAGATGGGATAATTTAAATTAAGGAAAGCTGGCTAGAAATGAGTCAAGCTAGGGCCAGACATTCATAAGAAAGAATAAGTAAGTCTCCAAGTGTGATTTATTTGGGAGCTGGGTGATGGGCCTTCCAAAGAGTAAAACAACCAGCAACAGAAAGTTGTCAATGAAACAAATTTCTGACTTCACAAAGTTTAATTACGCCTACATTTTAGCAAGCTAGCAATGAAGAAGTCAAAGCCTACACTATGTCAGATGGTGAAAACCATTACAGAAAAAAACAAAATGATGGGACATGGGAATAACAGCAGAGTTGATGCTGCTATCATATTATTTTTAGAATACATTCCTGTATGTGCATGCACACACTGAGTACCACAGGGCATGTGTGAAGGCAGAAGACAACATGTGAGAGCTCTCTCCTTCACCAAATGGGTCCTGGCATCAGACCTAGGTTATCAGGCTTGGCAACCAGTGCCTTTACTTGCTGAGCCACCTTGCTGACCCCAATGCTGTTATCATTACTTTAAAAGACTTATTGATTTTTATTTTATTGTATTGTGTGCCTGCATGTGTACATTATACCATACATGGGTCAGTGTTTGCATGTAACAGGGGAGGGCATCAAACCCTCTGGCACTGGAGTTAGAGGCAGTTGTGAGTCCTGGAAACCAAACCCAGGTTCTCTGCAACAGCAGCATGTGGCTCTTTGTTTTGTTTTTTCAAGACAGGGTTTCTATGAAATAGCCTTGGCTGTCCCAGAACTCCATCTGTAGAGCAGGCTGGCCTCAAACTCAGATATCAGTCTGCCTCTACCTACTAAGTGCTGGGATTAAAGGCATGTACCACCATAACTGGCTAGCATGAGTTCCTAACCTCTGAACCATCTCTCCAGTGGTCACCCCCCCACACCCCAACAATGTCTTCTGGTCTCTACTGGCATGGCACATACATGCACAAACCCATGGACAGATATGTAAATTTTTTGGTTTTCTGAGAAAGGGTTTTTCTGCATAATAGCCCTGGCTGTCCTGGAACTCCCTCTGTAGACCAGACTGGCCTAGAA